AAAAGATGCGATTTAGAGCAAAAAATAATGCGATTCGTGAATAAATCGCACCACTGAGAGCCAATCAGATTGCAAGGATAACCAGTGATTTCAAAATGGGTTTAATAAAAGTCGAAATTAATTAGAAGTAAAAGCACGAAATATTCTCAAATATGGTCAACGTTTGATTAGAACTTAAGCATAACAATGTTCAGTTATTTTAGTGTTAAAAAAAAAAAGTCAGAAGTTAGCAATGTTGGATAAAGAAGTCGTTTTATCAAGTATGTAAGTAATGAATTCTCGGAAATCTAAAATAGGATAAAGTAATTAAAAAAAGTTGATCCAGCATACAAAGCGCATGTCAAAGTGGAATGATCTTCTTTTTTTGTTGCCACAGCAACCAAGTCTAACAATTCAATTTTCGGTTGTAAGAGGCAGTACGCTTAAAGTGCTTAACATTGTTATGTCTAATAAAAGCAAATTAACATCTTGGTTCAATTTAAACGGAAAAAGGTGCAGGTGTGAACCACTGAGGCACTATATTGTGCGTTTGAACAAGAATTGTCACGAACAAGTTGCACGATCATGATTTTCTTAAGTATCAGTTGATGTTTTTAGTCAATAGGTATGCGTTGTTAAGTCGATGGAGTCACTAAAAATAACTCAAGCAAGACTAAAAGCCAGAGCACTCTGATAATTTTCAGCAATTTTGGTCATGGTAATAATAGGATGGTTTGTTTTCCGGTACATTTGCCATTGTGTTAAATACACAATTTGGTTTCTATATGAAAACAAAAGTAACCACCCTTGTTGAGGGTTTAGAATCGTATTAGAAAGTTTCTCGGCACTGACGTTTAAAGGAGCTACGACACGGTTTACGCATCTTGAAAAGTTTACCCTAATTTTTTTAAGTCAGTCGTTTGTAATCAGGGTCAATCTTCTCCATCCTTGACCATCCTTGTTCTTTTATGGTTTATAATTATCTCTGTGGTGTTTTTCTATCTTAGTAAACTATTATTTTCAGGTTTCCTTCAATTTAGAGGTAATTTTGCACGAGGAAATAATGAGTCAAAATACCGTAACGAAGTTCCTTTAAAACAAAGCAACGGCTGTAAGTGCACTCTTGTGTATGCATATTTTCAAAGGTTTTATTAGCGGCTCCTTCAGTTTTCCACAACAAAACCGAGTTAAATATAGCCTTCGTTTCAGTAATAATTTCATTCAAGAATTCAAAGCTCTTACGAATTTTGCACAGAAGGAAGTACCAGCAATATAAATAAGCCTTGTCGAAAACTGAGTACGTTGTTGAAAACACGTTCGTTTCTGTCTACTTCAGATACATACACACGAAAACAGACTTACGTAATAAAAATTGTTCAAACTGTAGAACAGTATAAAGAATTAGAAAGAAACTTGATCAATTCACAAATAGACATTATAAACAAGTGTTAAAGTTGACAAAAAACTTGAGCTTCGATCACGACAAACTTAAAAAAACGTTGCAAATTGTCGACCTTTATGAGCAGCGACTTTTGTAGATTAGAAATGACAACCAAGCCGAGCAGCCGAGGAATGTTTCCAGAGTTACCCGAGCAGTTCGTATGCATAAACATGTTTTTCCCGGAACTAATCTAGATCTTCAACCGACGTTTTTTTGGAAATTTCGCCGGAATACATGGACGATTGTCTTAACAATAATAATGACTAGCTCGACGTCGCAAACACGAAACTTGCATTTATAGCTACTCGTTGTATGTAGTGTAACTGAACTGTACCTTACCAAAGCATGGACTTGATAACCGTCGCTGAGAGTGGACTTAGTGCCTCTCGCTGTGTACACAGTCACTTCATAATCGTAAGCACATTTTGTCATCTGACTCAGTTGTAGCATATTCTCCTGGACAACTTTTCCTTGCAAACTGGCTACGTAAAGAACTTGCACGCAAACCAGGAAATGTTTACCGTACATTATGGCGGTCGAGACAAACACAAAGATTCTTTTTTTTCTTTTTGATATATCATTCAAAGTTAAGGCATCTTCTTCTCTTGGTAGGTCTAGAATGCAAGGACCCCAAGGCAACTTCGGATTATCGTCTACCGGTATATATACTTCCGTTCTTAGAAATACATGCACAGGAATTCTACGATTTGTTCGAACAGGTTCGTCGATAAAGTTGTTTTTGTCCTCAATAGCACAAAGGAAACAAAGAAACACAAAAGATAACTGTAATTAGTGCCGCTCCATCCGATATTTTCTCTATAAGCAATGAACTGTTTCTTTCACGAGTGTTTCAGTACAAAATGTTTATTCCAAATAAATAAAACGGCAGTTGCTTCTTCCTAGGAGAGTAGCACGACCTTAAATAAAGCAACTATCGGGCTTGGAAGACGCTACGAAAAACAACATCACTTGAAATACCAACAGGCACAGAACTGAGAAGAGACGGGTACTGACGAAATGAGAAGGGTTTTTCTTACAATCTTCTTGCTGTACCTTTTGACTGAAGCAAGCGCCTGGCGACGACGAAGACGGAGAAGGGCTCCACCTCCTTGTAGCGCTGTAAACTGTCAAGTGGGAAGCTGGACAAGTTGGAGTTCTTGTTCACATCAGTGCGGTACTAGCGGCGAACAGACACGAACGCGGCGACAGGTAAAGGCCGCGTCTTGCGGTGGCACTTGTCCTTACAACTTGCGTGAAACGCAAGCGTGTAACAGAGATAATTGTCGAAACGGTGGCACGCCGCACAGTGGCGGATGTAGCTGTAGAGCAGGATACCGTGGGACTTGTTGCGAACAAGGTGAGTCTAGGCTAAGAAGTGTTAGGCTTAACCTCGTTCTTTTGAGCATGGTAAACAAACGATTTTCTCGTCGTTAAATACAGTTTACTTCTTAAACAAACACGCATATGTATTAAACCGATATCTCAGAATAAAATGCGCAACTATTCTGAGGTACTGTAGCTATAGGCGGTCGTGGATATCAACGTGCATGTGGCAACTGAGCCAACAGGTTCATTACCTAGGCTACATTACCGTTATCGAGAAAACGAAAGAAGGAAGCGGAGAACAGTAGCTGCTGTGAAAATATGTTTTACGTTCATTTCTTCTTCAGCAATATGTCTATTTAGACTGAAAAGGAAGGAATTTTGAAGAGTAAATAGAAACCTACTATTAGAAAAACCCTGACAAAACTGCAATGATAATCAAAAGAAAAATACATTTTCCAATCAGCTATCTTTCCAGTCTGGTATAATTCAACCTCGAATTCACCGCTATCTCGAACTCAAACAATTTTACCTAAGATACTACAATAATAACCACTAGAATAGGAAAAATAGGAAAGAAAACGTTTACTTTGTAATGCACTAGCTGTCTCGAGCTTGATGTAGCTCAGTTAAACTTGTTTGGAATACATGTACATTTACTACGGTTGATAGGCTACACTATATATATATATATATATATATATATATATATATATCACTTGCTTTAAATAGTGGATATTGTGCTTATAGACTCAGCAGTCAATATTAGAAGAGTTTAACGCCCTTGAACAAATTCCTACGTCACGTAAAATAGCAATGGAATACATTCCAGCAATTCAGAAAATAGGAAGGTAAGTTTAAATCATCGTCCGAAGAAAAACAAACCGTAAAAGAAATATACGCAAATAAATAAGCGAAAAGTGACGAAAAAGTTCAAGTCTGCTTAGTTTTGTAGACTTTAGTCCACGCGACCTTTCATTGAAGAAATACTAACTTAAGATGCAGTCTCGGTAGAAAAGCAAGGAATTAACCTAAAACAGGAAAAGGTAATAGAAAACTTTGATCGAGCATATGAGTGGAAGGATACTCTTTTCTGTTGCAACAACAACCACGTCAAACAACCATTTACATATTGGCACAATTGATACGCAACAGAGTCCCTGTATTGTTCGTTTGAACAAGAATTGTCATCAACAAGCTATCAATCATGATGTTCTTGAGTATCATTTGACGTTTTAGTCAACACACTGTAGGTATGCTTTGATAAGTCGATCGAATCTCAAAATAACTCAAGGAAAGCTAATAAAAGCCAGGACACTCAGATCATTTCAGCATTTTTGGTCATCGAAAATAATAACATGCTCTGTTTTGATGTATATCTGCAATTGTGTTACACCAAAAAATGGTAAAAGTTTCTCTACACAGAAAGACAAAAGTAACCAACCACCTATTTCTGAGAGAACAATCATGCTGCAAAGTTTGATGGCACTGAAGTGTAAAAGAAAGCAATGGCAATATGTGCATTGTTGCATATAGATTATGCAAAAACGTTTTATCAGCGGCCACGATAGTCTCACCAGAACAAAGGCGAGTTAAAAATGGCTTTTGTTTCAGCAATAATTTAATTGAAAATTCAAAGTTCGTACGAATTTTACGCAGATTAGTCTATTAGTTGAAATACATACACACACCAAAACGAACTTGCATCCAAAACAAATTGACCAAATTGTAGTACACTACGTAATTCACAGATACACATTATAAACAAATGTTAAAGGTTTAAACCCCTAAAGTTGCGAACAGAACAAAATGGACAAAAAAAAAGAACCTTAAAGAATATCTTTCTTAGTCAGCGCGTTTTCCGCAGCCTTGGAAGCTTCAAGGAATATCTCACGCTTTATATTTACAAAAAAAAAATAATAATAAAAGGGAGCTGCGTAATAGGAGTGGTTCATGAGTAGTAACACATTTTGCGCCCAGCACACCTTCATTCGACGTTTTTGCAAATTCACCGAAATACGATTGCCTCGACATTGCTTGCTCGAGACATCGCAAACAGAAAACTTGCATTAGCTAATTTTGTACGTAGAGTAACTGAACTGTACCTTACCAAAGCATGGACTTGGTAACCGTCGCTGAGAGTAGACTTAGCGCCTCTCGCTGTGTACACAGTCACTTCGTATTCGTACGCACATTTTGTCAACTGACTCAGTTGCAATACTTTCTCCTGGACAGCTTTTCCTTGCAAACTGGCTACGTGAAGAACAAGCATGCAAACAAGGAAATATTTACTGCACATTATGGCGATTGTTCTGCTTGTTTGAAATAACTTCCAAAGTTAAGCCATCTTTCTGCTTGTCTTGATAGGTCTAAAATGCAAGGACGTTTGCAACCTTTGGATTATGGTCTAGCAAAATAATTTAAATTACTTCCGTTCTTAGAAATAGACGCTCAGGAATCCGACGTTTTGTTCAAGCAGGTTCGTCGATAAAGTTTTTTTTTTCACCTCGATAGAACAAAGGAAACAAAGAGAAACAAGAGATGTCAATTCAATCGAGCAGTTAGACCATTGACATTGATTAAGTATACAGATCTCTTTCCGCCTGATATTTTCTATGTAAGCTTGGACTGAGTGACTGATTTCCTTTCACGATTATTTCAGCGCAAACTATTAGAAGCAGGGAATTCTAAAATTCAACCACGAGTTCCAAAGTTTTGCCAATGGTCGACTAGAAGTAACTTCCATTCTAGCTTACGGAAGAGGCTCTTAAGCGGAGCAATTGCTCAAACGGGTTTATGGTTCGGACACACGCAGAGGTTTCATTCACGTTGTCAGCAAGAGGGCAACTGGTTTTCAAAAGTGGGCAAAACTATTTGAACTTAACTTCTTTATAAGAAAACCTTTCTGCTAGATGGTCAACTGAACCAGGTGAACAAAATCGTTCTCACAGCCGGTCAATTTCCGGTGCCCGGCCCTTAACCCTTTCATGCTTGATTTTGCTCCAAAAAAGCCGTATTTCTTACCTTCAAATGGTTTTTGGACATCCAATGTTACTAAATTGCACTAACATAGGGCCATTGGCGGTGTTTTAACAAGATTTTCAGCTGTATGATGAGATTATAGCAGGGTTTCCAACGTTTGCAATATCAATTACTTACGCTCTCAGAAAGCCATGCACACGATTATTACGTTTTGCTTAAGCAAGTTCGTCGATCAAGTTATTTTTGTCCTCAATAGAACAAAGGAAACAAAGCCACACGGAAGATACTAATGAAATCGAACAGCTAGATTGGTTAAGTATACAGTAAAGATCTGTCAGTACAGTACTCAACGGTATTGACTTGTCTTCTTTCACGATGGTTTCATCGCAAACTAAATTCTTGCCAGGGTAAAATGCAACGACGAGTTCCAAAGTTCTGTCAAAGGCTGACTCGAAGTGACTTCCGTTTTAGCTTTACGCATCACTGTTCAATTTGTCCTAGTTCATGACTCCATTCACTCTTGCGCCTGGGCTTTTGTTGTTTACTTGCCGCTAACTTGACTTGAAGTCACTTGCGTTTTAGCATTACGCATTTATTTCATTTAAGGTCCTCAAGGGGAGCAATTGATCACTGTCCAAGTTTTCCTATTTCATGACTCTATTAACACACGGTGTTTAGCTTGTTATTTACTCAAAGGTAAAGATGCCAAAATTTATTGTTAGCCCACTGAGGAATTGGTTCTTATTCCTGGGCAAAATAAGCGGCTCAAATGATAAAACAAAAGCCAGAGGAAGTAGACAACTGAACAATGATTATTTTATGTTATTCCCACATGCCAACCATTAAAAGTCAAAGAAAGGAACTCTGACCGGCGTATTTATCAAGATTATATCAAAACATCACTGCATTGTTTTTGTGTTTCTCTTTCAAACTTTGCATACCACAAACCTGACGAGAGAGAAGAGTGAGGAAGTTGTTCGCTTTGACGAGTATAAAGGCCAGTGAATATATGGTTCATTGGCCACGTTTTTGAAAACACGACTTCAGTCGTAGAAAGACTGAAATAGACTTGAAGTAAACGTTAACACCGGGCAGAAACAAAATCCCAAAAAAGCAACATGAAAAGGGCTTTAATAGCAATTTGCCTCCTTCTTTTAATGACTGAAACAAATTCGGTTTTCTGGAGCAGACGAAGACGGCGAAGGAGGTCTCCACCTCCTTGCAGCGCTGTTAACTGTCAAGTGGGAAGTTGGTCAAGTTGGAGTTCTTGTTCACATCAGTGCGGTACTAGCGGCGAACAGACACGAACGCGACAACAGGTACAGGCCGCGTCTTGTGGAGGCACTTGTCCTTATAGCTTGAGTGAAACGCAAGCGTGTAACAGAGATAGTTGTCAAAACGGTGGCACGCCGTACAGTGGCGGATGTAGCTGTAGAGCGGGATACGGTGGGACGTGTTGTGACCAAGGTGAGTCTAAACTCAGAATTTATTTCTCGGAAAACTGACGAAACGAACTGCTCAAGGCAGAGTGAAAATTTGAAACAAAATGTAAATTACTGATAATATGGCAAATGGACTTTTAATAGAATTGGCGACACCGTAATATTGAATGGAACTATTCAAACATAGTCAATAAATCGAATTAAGATGCGCACAGCACAGTTCAAATGACATTTCAATCTCGCACTTTTCGTATTTATATTGAATGCGGTTTTGATGCCGTCTAGACTTAAAATTATTCAAAGAAACATAGTCTTGCGATTTTTGAGTGGAAGGTAGCTACAGAGAGGAGTTTCAGTGCGTTAATTTTAAAAGCTTCATTTAGTACACGCACAAAGAATGTTCGATGTAATTATTTACTTTACTTCAAAGGATCAACATCACAGCATCATTAAGAGTCAAACATAAAGTAAATGCTATATTATCTAACCTACTTCTGAAATTAAACGCTGCGTGCAATATCAGGTAATATGCTCAGCGTACAAATGCATGCTCGCCTAAATTACAGTTTGAAATTCTTTGTATTATTCAACATCTTTGCCGTTAGTACTATAAATGAGATCAATTAAGGTGTCAGTTGGTTCTAAACAGAAACAATTTCCCCTAACTTTAAGTACCAAGGCTCAAAATGCCGAAAACTTAAAACTTGCACAGCATCTGGACTGATTTGATATAAGTTAGGACATCGATTATTAAAATAGCAGTTTCAGAAGTAGGAGCTTCATTGGCGCGCCGGTCGGCTCGCGTGTGGGTCACGCGCGCGAGTAACGAGGCCGCGAAAACGTAATGGCCGCGCGAGACGCATCAAAATGTAATGGCCCTTCTCTCAAACTTAGAGGTTCCCTTCCTCCACAAACAAAGGTACAAAAGCGCTTGAAATGTAATGAGAACTCGGGAAAACAAAGCCCCGTTTTCATGACTAAGCTACAATAGATTGTTTTAAGTTGCGTCATCTCTGAAGTAACTCCAAGAAAGAGTTTAGAGCTGATTTGAGTAACTGAAAATTCTCCGAAACAAAAGTTTTGAACATTCTCATTAAACTGAATGCAAAGCGGATTTCTTTTGGTTCTTTCGCTCAAACGCCTGTGACAGTCGAGGAGATGCGGTCGATACGGAAAAACTGACCGGGAATAGTTAAAAGGCTGACTCTTGTAAATGTTTGCTTTAGCAGTAAAAACATGAAATCCACTAGATCGACGGAACAAAAGACTTCACAACTGCGTTTATTTATTGAGCTTTCGCTAATAACTTTATTTTCAGTTAGTAGAATTTACAAATCTTAATTTTAACGCAAAGTCTCCTTGCGCGATTAAAATACATGTGTGTTTGTCTTTCTATCGGAAATGCCGAATGACAATATGATCATTGAGATTAATGGACTGAAAATGAAATTGTGCAATTCGTCACGGTTTCGATTTCCTCTAGTGCGCGGGCAATATGACATGCCGTACTATGATATTTATCGAATCTAGCGCGCTCACTAGTACAGCTGTAAAATATTCAAGAACTAGTACATTTTTGCGTAAGAAAGTGCAAGCTTTGAGGTAGAAGAAATTCCGCTGATCTTTGAAAACGTATTTAAGTTTTACACGGTTTGAAATTTTGTACACAAGTTATGAACTCACCAGAGCGTGAAGTTGAAATCCTTCCCCAGCAGTAGAGTGCGCCCCTCTAGCGGTATGCACAGCAACTTCGTAATCGTAGGTACATGAGGCCTGGTGAACAAATAACAGTGGTTTCTGTCTCTGTTCTAACAATGCGGCGGCGCCGCTATGGTCCACAGCTAAAATAACTTGCAATAATATCACGAAACAACAGAGCCAGTTCATGGCTGCTGCGGCGTGTCTCTTGTATACAGAGGGTCTGGCGGTCATTTGACAATTTAAAATGGTCGCCTGGGACGTTACGCAATTTATCGAAAACAATAAACAAAGTGCGTCACAATATTTGTTGATCCGCTGAAACGCTGGGACGTGAAACAACTTGTTTAGAACAAATTCCAATCCAGCTAAATCGCACACTACTGCAAGAGGTGCAATTGTCTGTTGGCGGAGTCAAAAAGGTTCTGGTCATAGATACAAGTANGTATTAAACCGATATCTCAGAATAAAATGCGCAACTATTCTGAGGTACTGTAGCTATAGGCGGTCGTGGATATCAACGTGCATGTGGCAACTGAGCCAACAGGTTCATTACCTAGGCTACATTACCGTTATCGAGAAAACGAAAGAAGGAAGCGGAGAACAGTAGCTGCTGTGAAAATATGTTTTACGTTCATTTCTTCTTCAGCAATATGTCTATTTAGACTGAAAAGGAAGGAATTTTGAAGAGTAAATAGAAACCTACTATTAGAAAAACCCTGACAAAACTGCAATGATAATCAAAAGAAAAATACATTTTCCAATCAGCTATCTTTCCAGTCTGGTATAATTCAACCTCGAATTCACCGCTATCTCGAACTCAAACAATTTTACCTAAGATACTACAATAATAACCACTAGAATAGGAAAAATAGGAAAGAAAACGTTTACTTTGTAATGCACTAGCTGTCTCGAGCTTGATGTAGCTCAGTTAAACTTGTTTGGAATACATGTACATTTACTACGGTTGATAGGCTACACTATATATATATATATATATATATATATATATATATATCACTTGCTTTAAATAGTGGATATTGTGCTTATAGACTCAGCAGTCAATATTAGAAGAGTTTAACGCCCTTGAACAAATTCCTACGTCACGTAAAATAGCAATGGAATACATTCCAGCAATTCAGAAAATAGGAAGGTAAGTTTAAATCATCGTCCGAAGAAAAACAAACCGTAAAAGAAATATACGCAAATAAATAAGCGAAAAGTGACGAAAAAGTTCAAGTCTGCTTAGTTTTGTAGACTTTAGTCCACGCGACCTTTCATTGAAGAAATACTAACTTAAGATGCAGTCTCGGTAGAAAAGCAAGGAATTAACCTAAAACAGGAAAAGGTAATAGAAAACTTTGATCGAGCATATGAGTGGAAGGATACTCTTTTCTGTTGCAACAACAACCACGTCAAACAACCATTTACATATTGGCACAATTGATACGCAACAGAGTCCCTGTATTGTTCGTTTGAACAAGAATTGTCATCAACAAGCTATCAATCATGATGTTCTTGAGTATCATTTGACGTTTTAGTCAACACACTGTAGGTATGCTTTGATAAGTCGATCGAATCTCAAAATAACTCAAGGAAAGCTAATAAAAGCCAGGACACTCAGATCATTTCAGCATTTTTGGTCATCGAAAATAATAACATGCTCTGTTTTGATGTATATCTGCAATTGTGTTACACCAAAAAATGGTAAAAGTTTCTCTACACAGAAAGACAAAAGTAACCAACCACCTATTTCTGAGAGAACAATCATGCTGCAAAGTTTGATGGCACTGAAGTGTAAAAGAAAGCAATGGCAATATGTGCATTGTTGCATATAGATTATGCAAAAACGTTTTATCAGCGGCCACGATAGTCTCACCAGAACAAAGGCGAGTTAAAAATGGCTTTTGTTTCAGCAATAATTTAATTGAAAATTCAAAGTTCGTACGAATTTTACGCAGATTAGTCTATTAGTTGAAATACATACACACACCAAAACGAACTTGCATCCAAAACAAATTGACCAAATTGTAGTACACTACGTAATTCACAGATACACATTATAAACAAATGTTAAAGGTTTAAACCCCTAAAGTTGCGAACAGAACAAAATGGACAAAAAAAAAGAACCTTAAAGAATATCTTTCTTAGTCAGCGCGTTTTCCGCAGCCTTGGAAGCTTCAAGGAATATCTCACGCTTTATATTTACAAAAAAAAAATAATAATAAAAGGGAGCTGCGTAATAGGAGTGGTTCATGAGTAGTAACACATTTTGCGCCCAGCACACCTTCATTCGACGTTTTTGCAAATTCACCGAAATACGATTGCCTCGACATTGCTTGCTCGAGACATCGCAAACAGAAAACTTGCATTAGCTATTTTTGTACGTAGAGTAACTGAACTGTACCTTACCAAAGCATGGACTTGGTAACCGTCGCTGAGAGTAGACTTAGCGCCTCTCGCTGTGTACACAGTCACTTCGTATTCGTACGCACATTTTGTCAACTGACTCAGTTGCAATACTTTCTCCTGGACAGCTTTTCCTTGCAAACTGGCTACGTGAAGAACAAGCATGCAAACAAGGAAATATTTACTGCACATTATGGCGATTGTTCTGCTTGTTTGAAATAACTTCCAAAGTTAAGCCATCTTTCTGCTTGTCTTGATAGGTCTAAAATGCAAGGACGTTTGCAACCTTTGGATTATGGTCTAGCAAAATAATTTAAATTACTTCCGTTCTTAGAAATAGACGCTCAGGAATCCGACGTTTTGTTCAAGCAGGTTCGTCGATAAAGTTTTTTTTTTCACCTCGATAGAACAAAGGAAACAAAGAGAAACAAGAGATGTCAATTCAATCGAGCAGTTAGACCATTGACATTGATTAAGTATACAGATCTCTTTCCGCCTGATATTTTCTATGTAAGCTTGGACTGAGTGACTGATTTCCTTTCACGATTATTTCAGCGCAAACTATTAGAAGCAGGGAATTCTAAAATTCAACCACGAGTTCCAAAGTTTTGCCAATGGTCGACTAGAAGTAACTTCCATTCTAGCTTACGGAAGAGGCTCTTAAGCGGAGCAATTGCTCAAACGGGTTTATGGTTCGGACACACGCAGAGGTTTCATTCACGTTGTCAGCAAGAGGGCAACTGGTTTTCAAAAGTGGGCAAAACTATTTGAACTTAACTTCTTTATAAGAAAACCTTTCTGCTAGATGGTCAACTGAACCAGGTGAACAAAATCGTTCTCACAGCCGGTCAATTTCCGGTGCCCGGCCCTTAACCCTTTCATGCTTGATTTTGCTCCAAAAAAGCCGTATTTCTTACCTTCAAATGGTTTTTGGACATCCAATGTTACTAAATTGCACTAACATAGGGCCATTGGCGGTGTTTTAACAAGATTTTCAGCTGTATGATGAGATTATAGCAGGGTTTCCAACGTTTGCAATATCAATTACTTACGCTCTCAGAAAGCCATGCACACGATTATTACGTTTTGCTTAAGCAAGTTCGTCGATCAAGTTATTTTTGTCCTCAATAGAACAAAGGAAACAAAGCCACACGGAAGATACTAATGAAATCGAACAGCTAGATTGGTTAAGTATACAGTAAAGATCTGTCAGTACAGTACTCAACGGTATTGACTTGTCTTCTTTCACGATGGTTTCATCGCAAACTAAATTCTTGCCAGGGTAAAATGCAACGACGAGTTCCAAAGTTCTGTCAAAGGCTGACTCGAAGTGACTTCCGTTTTAGCTTTACGCATCACTGTTCAATTTGTCCTAGTTCATGACTCCATTCACTCTTGCGCCTGGGCTTTTGTTGTTTACTTGCCGCTAACTTGACTTGAAGTCACTTGCGTTTTAGCATTACGCATTTATTTCATTTAAGGTCCTCAAGGGGAGCAATTGATCACTGTCCAAGTTTTCCTATTTCATGACTCTATTAACACACGGTGTTTAGCTTGTTATTTACTCAAAGGTAAAGATGCCAAAATTTATTGTTAGCCCACTGAGGAATTGGTTCTTATTCCTGGGCAAAATAAGCGGCTCAAATGATAAAACAAAAGCCAGAGGAAGTAGACAACTGAACAATGATTATTTTATGTTATTCCCACATGCCAACCATTAAAAGTCAAAGAAAGGAACTCTGACCGGCGTATTTATCAAGATTATATCAAAACATCACTGCATTGTTTTTGTGTTTCTCTTTCAAACTTTGCATACCACAAACCTGACGAGAGAGAAGAGTGAGGAAGTTGTTCGCTTTGACGAGTATAAAGGCCAGTGAATATATGGTTCATTGGCCACGTTTTTGAAAACACGACTTCAGTCGTAGAAAGACTGAAATAGACTTGAAGTAAACGTTAACACCGGGCAGAAACAAAATCCCAAAAAAGCAACATGAAAAGGGCTTTAATAGCAATTTGCCTCCTTCTTTTAATGACTGAAACAAATTCGGTTTTCTGGAGCAGACGAAGACGGCGAAGGAGGTCTCCACCTCCTTGCAGCGCTGTTAACTGTCAAGTGGGAAGTTGGTCAAGTTGGAGTTCTTGTTCACATCAGTGCGGTACTAGCGGCGAACAGACACGAACGCGACAACAGGTACAGGCCGCGTCTTGTGGAGGCACTTGTCCTTATAGCTTGAGTGAAACGCAAGCGTGTAACAGAGATAGTTGTCAAAACGGTGGCACGCCGTACAGTGGCGGATGTAGCTGTAGAGCGGGATACGGTGGGACGTGTTGTGACCAAGGTGAGTCTAAACTCAGAATTTATTTCTCGGAAAACTGACGAAACGAACTGCTCAAGGCAGAGTGAAAATTTGAAACAAAATGTAAATTACTGATAATATGGCAAATGGACTTTTAATAGAATTGGCGACACCGTAATATTGAATGGAACTATTCAAACATAGTCAATAAATCGAATTAAGATGCGCACAGCACAGTTCAAATGACATTTCAATCTCGCACTTTTCGTATTTATATTGAATGCGGTTTTGATGCCGTCTAGACTTAAAATTATTCAAAGAAACATAGTCTTGCGATTTTTGAGTGGAAGGTAGCTACAGAGAGGAGTTTCAGTGCGTTAATTTTAAAAGCTTCATTTAGTACACGCACAAAGAATGTTCGATGTAATTATTTACTTTACTTCAAAGGATCAACATCACAGCATCATTAAGAGTCAAACATAAAGTAAATGCTATATTATCTAACCTACTTCTGAAATTAAACGCTGCGTGCAATATCAGGTAATATGCTCAGCGTACAAATGCATGCTCGCCTAAATTACAGTTTGAAATTCTTTGTATTATTCAACATCTTTGCCGTTAGTACTATAAATGAGATCAATTAAGGTGTCAGTTGGTTCTAAACAGAAACAATTTCCCCTAACTTTAAGTACCAAGGCTCAAAATGCCGAAAACTTAAAACTTGCACAGCATCTGGACTGATTTGATATAAGTTAGGACATCGATTATTAAAATAGCAGTTTCAGAAGTAGGAGCTTCATTGGCGCGCCGGTCGGCTCGCGTGTGGGTCACGCGCGCGAGTAACGAGGCCGCGAAAACGTAATGGCCGCGCGAGACGCATCAAAATGTAATGGCCCTTCTCTCAAACTTAGAGGTTCCCTTCCTCCACAAACAAAGGTACAAAAGCGCTTGAAATGTAATGAGAACTCGGGAAAACAAAGCCCCGTTTTCATGACTAAGCTACAATAGATTGTTTTAAGTTGCGTCATCTCTGAAGTAACTCCAAGAAAGAGTTTAGAGCTGATTTGAGTAACTGAAAATTCTCCGAAACAAAAGTTTTGAACATTCTCATTAAACTGAATGCAAAGCGGATTTCTTTTGGTTCTTTCGCTCAAACGCCTGTGACAGTCGAGGAGATGCGGTCGATACGGAAAAACTGACCGGGAATAGTTAAAAGGCTGACTCTTGTAAATGTTTGCTTTAGCAGTAAAAACATGAAATCCACTAGATCGACGGAACAAAAGACTTCACAACTGCGTTTATTTATTGAGCTTTCGCTAATAACTTTATTTTCAGTTAGTAGAATTTACAAATCTTAATTTTAACGCAAAGTCTCCTTGCGCGATTAAAATACATGTGTGTTTGTCTTTCTATCGGAAATGCCGAATGACAATATGATCATTGAGATTAATGGACTGAAAATGAAATTGTGCAATTCGTCACGGTTTCGATTTCCTCTAGTGCGCGGGCAATATGACATGCCGTACTATGATATTTATCGAATCTAGCGCGCTCACTAGTACAGCTGTAAAATATTCAAGAACTAGTACATTTTTGCGTAAGAAAGTGCAAGCTTTGAGGTAGAAGAAATTCCGCTGATCTTTGAAAACGTATTTAAGTTTTACACGGTTTGAAATTTTGTACACAAGTTATGAACTCACCAGAGCGTGAAGTTGAAATCCTTCCCCAGCAGTAGAGTGCGCCCCTCTAGCGGTATGCACAGCAACTTCGTAATCGTAGGTACATGAGGCCTGGTGAACAAATAACAGTGGTTTCTGTCTCTGTTCTAACAATGCGGCGGCGCCGCTATGGTCCACAGCTAAAATAACTTGCAATAATATCACGAAACAACAGAGCCAGTTCATGGCTGCTGCGGCGTGTCTCTTGTATACAGAGGGTCTGGCGGTCATTTGACAATTTAAAATGGTCGCCTGGGACGTTACGCAATTTATCGAAAACAATAAACAAAGTGCGTCACAATATTTGTTGATCCGCTGAAACGCTGGGACGTGAAACAACTTGTTTAGAACAAATTCCAATCCAGCTAAATCGCACACTACTGCAAGAGGTGCAATTGTCTGTTGGCGGAGTCAAAAAGGTTCTGGTCATAGATACAAGTAGTTTTATTTGACAAGTGTGACCTATTCCAGCTTGCAGCTTGCAGACAAACCCCCAGAGTGAGGAATTACGTTACTACTGTCCAACAATACCTTTTTGCTTTAACATTCGATTTCGAAATCACTTTACTCACTCTGGAAAAACAATGTGGACGACCAAGTTTTTAGCTGTTACGTTACTGCTGCTAGCTTTAGCGCGGAACACCGAACCTTGGCGGCGGAGAAGACGAAGGCGCGCTCCACCACCGTGCCCCACGCGAAATTGTCAAGTCGGCTCATGGTCATCTTGGGGCGCCTGCAGCCGTCAGTGTGGCACAAGCGGAACGCAGAGTAGATGGAGATCAAAAACTGTGGTGGAAACTTGCGGGGGAACATGCCATTACCCACTGAACCAGAATCGCGCTTGCAATAGAGACGCATGTAAGAATTCAGGTACCCCTCATAGTAGTGGATGCTCTTGTCGGCCGGGATACCGGGGAACCTGTTGTGAAAGTGGTAAGTTTAAAAAATTATCGAACCATGCCCGATTGATCACTGAAACAAACAGTAGCGTAGAATTGACAATCGCTTTGGACTCGAAAATGTTACGGTATTACGAAACCAACTAAGCGATGGAGTTCAAGGGCTCTCAAAGTAATTTTGCTTCTTTTGATCAGGTCAAATATGAGCTAATCTGCTATCGTCGTTTTATTTTGCATTTCGATGATCGCTTTAGGTACTCGAGTCCAATTACAATGCTGTGTGAGTTTCAGTGCTAGTTTTATTACAGCTCTAACTTGACAATAGAATATTTCAGTAGCACGCTTATTTTCAAGCGGCAAATCCGGGCGGCAAATATACGGCGTAATGACCTCTAACCTACACACTTGGACGGACATGGACACTAGCATGACTCTCGTCACGGATAATGACAGCCGAATGACAGAAGATTTTAATCTGCGCTTAGAACCGCCTGGAAGCGTTTATATAGCTTAGGCTATGTATAAATATGTCAAGAAAATTCTGGGAACAATTAAGCGAACACTTGCTAAAGAAGCAGACAATCCCCTTTCTTTGCCTTTCTTTTAACTATCACATAGACAAAGGTCATCGAAATTCACTTCACTGTAGTATACTTAAGTTATATTTGAAATGCTAATAACATAATACTGGTTTGTTGGGAGCCAGAACATTCTTAGTAGGTTTTCTTAAAAAACACGTTCACTGTCACTCGCTCTCAACCCCTTGAATGGCTTTCAGTGGGCTTAACCTCAAACGAAAAGGTCACGAGCTTTGCCGTGGCATGTTCCCCGGAAATATTATGATTTACTGCATGACCACGGTGTAAAATCACTTGACACTCGTAAGGATTATTTAAAGATGGTACATCCTGGCACAGATCGGTTCATGGTCGAGCTGTGTCGAAATAAGCACACGAACGAAGGAAAACGCGCGAGTAGGGGGGAAAAGGACAGTGTCCTAGACAATGAGCTACAGCTACAATCCCGGAAAAAAATTAGTTGAGACACTTGAGCTGGATCACGTTCCCCCATCCTCCCAAATCAACGTTGGAAAATGTCGCGTTTTTTTTTTTTTTTTTAACAAAAAGGGAAAAAATGACCTGATTATCAACACTGTAGGTGGGGGGAGGGGAGAACTTGCTTGGTGTCCCAAGTTTTTTGTTCGGGATTGTAGTCATCTCTTACTTTGTCCACTCTCACACACGCGTGGCGATTTTCGCGAGGTTCCCGCAGCGTGGAAACACGCGCGAAATCTACGATAATGAACGAAAAGAAAAGAAAGGAAGAAAGGCGGTTCTTTACAGCATCAAACTTTTTACAAATCTCAACGAGCTAATATCTTACGAAAAAGTCTATCACCTTATGACTGTAAATTTATTCAGTCTGCAACGCAAGTACATACCAACACGTTATCATCTCTTTCAAGCGCGTTACAGCACGCATTAATCACTGTTGACTCTTCTCAGGGTGTGGCAAATCGGCATGCATCACGTACCAATGAAACCTAAAATACCTAAATTTGTCTTCTTCGTCATTGGCTAAGCATAAGCGTAACTACCTAGACATTTCATCACCGCGCTTTTTGCCTTCGTTTTTACCACGGGAGTAACTGTTTTAATCAATTCTTTTTTTTAAAGAAACAACAACAACAGCGACAGCATTACATGTAATTGAGACCTCTTTTAGAGGATACAAGATCTCAAGTTCCTTACACTGTTATTCCAACTGTGTTGTCATTTTACATGTAAACAAACAAACTTGTGAATTTGCGTCTTTTGTGCACGCTTCATCTACCTTATTGTTTCATAAAAGTAAACTTTTGACTTTCTCTCTTCACAGAATTTTTCTGTTGTTTCGAGTTGTAATTTGAAACAACCAGCATTGTGATATTTTCCGCTAAACAATTTTCTACTCGCTACAACTACGCTGTCATCTTAAAAGAACTGACAAAATTTTTTTTCCCCTGCTAACATAGTTTTTCACGATTGTTTTACTTGCGTGCACTGCAGCGTTACTGTAAATCGCCGTATTTCTAGTGCTTAAAAAACAAAGTTAAAAATAACGCCATTGTAGTGTCACGCTATACATGTAGCTTGATGCAATCCAACTAAGGAACCAATGAGATCACGCGCTACATGGCTAAAATTTTACAGAAGCTGCCAGGGTCTGTGAACAGATTTTCTCTTTCGGAACTGTTCTTCTTAACTGAGGGTTATGATCCTCATCTAATTTTATCACTCATAACTTTTGCCACTCATAAATTTCGAAACATTAATCAAGGTGGCTCTGAAACCCAAGTACAGAATTTTGTTAAACTTTGCCAAAAGTTGTATCTTATCTTGCTTATCAAAATTCGTTGATAAAATTGGGTTTCAGGGTGCCGTTTTTGAAATATAGTTACTAGAAGTTAAATTTAGGTTGTTTTTAGTAGTTCATACTGTTGCTATGGTAACCTATTGTGTCATGAAAATGATAACAAAGTGTTCACCAATGATTTGGCAACTTTTTAATACCATGATTGCAGCATCAAGTGATAAAGGGTGGCTATAATGACCAATCAAAATCTAAGTCTTGGAAAGTGTTGGAAACTGTTTTGAGCTACCTTAGTTGATCCATAACGAAACAATGTGCCGCCCATAGATTTCCACAGAACTTGTTTTTCTTCCTTACAGATGTGAACGAGTGTCAGAACAACCCATGCCAACACACGTGTACGAACACGTTCGGTAGTTTCACATGCAGCTGTTATTCCTGCTACACCAAAGTCGGATACAACTGTGACCTGAGGCAGTGTAAAATCAGCAATCGGTGTTACTCATATGGTACAGTGAATCCCAGCAATCAGTGTCAGGTCAGATACATGTATACATACATAGTTTATTTAATTAAGCAGGTTACAAAATCGGCAAGACTAAAGTCCCGATGTGGAGCGGCACTAACTAGATGTAAAATACATTAATTACTTACTGATGTAATATGAGAATGTCTTACATAAATGAAACAGGGAAATTAGCCTCAAGAGTTGTTAAAGTCCATTGAAGTAAAAGAAATGCTACAGGAGGCTTTCTCAAAACTTATAGAAAGTTTCTTTTCCCTAATTAACTTCTTAAAATGACTAAGACTGGGAGAGTATTTAAAGGAAATGGGAAGGAGGCTCCAGCAGAGGGCAGCTTTGTGCTTAAAAGATGATCTGTCGATCTCTGTTCTTGGTCTGGGAACCTCAATGGTTGCAGTCCTGCTAGATGAGAGCAAATAGGTTAGATTAAAGTAGCCTCTGTCAGGCGTTCAGTTCGTTGGGGCGCAGCGCGAAAAACAGCGCGAGAAAAAAATAAAAAAGCGCGGCGAGAGGAATCTCGCCGCGCTTTTTTTATTTTTTCGCGCGCGGTTTTTCGCGCTTCGCCCCAACTAACTGAACGCCTGAAAGTAAAGGAGCCCGGGAGTTAAAAGGGAGGGAACCGTGTAAGAGGCGGTAAACAAGAGAGGAGAAAAGCGGGATTCCTTAGCAGCCAAGAGAAATAAGAAAACATTTCGTAGCATTGCGTAAAAGAATAAAAAACTGTTGGGGGGTGGCGCATAGCAGAGGACAATATCAGAGAATGAGTGATATGCTGTTCTCAAAAAATAACTTTCCCTGCATAAAGATATATTGCTATTCAACAGGATTGTAACAGCACCAGCAAGCTAGCCTGGAGAAACAACAACGCTTTGTCGTGCAGTGATAATAAGGCGTGCACTAAAAATGACCGGTGTTCAAATGGTGTCTGTTCTGGAACGCCATTCACGTGCCTTCCGTGTGAAGAGTGTTACAATGACGCATGCCGCGTGAAACCAGGATACTGTGTGATCAACGATGGTGGAACACGAAAATGTTTTAACCATGGAGACATCCGACCCGGATATCCTTGCCAGGTAAAATAGTGAACAACTATTGCATACGCAATACTGATCAGCTAATAATTTCTCAATATGTTGATATATCGACTTTGAGAAGGAAGGTAATGAGATTGAAGAACCTGATTATCGGAAGAGGTAAGTTTTGTTTAGACAATGTAGGAAGGACTATTCGGAGGATTTAGTTTTCCACGCTTGGTTTTATAACAAAATCAGTCACAGAGGTAGACAACCTGTTTAGTAGTTTTGGTGTTCAATGAGAAACACAAGCAAAAGTCAGCTTCGCAGACTTTGCAGAAAACAACACAATAAGCAGTATTAATTGAACGTATTTCTCAGTAGCTTTGAATGGTCAGGAACTACTAGGGTTTTATCCAGGAACTTACGACGGCAACAGTCCTTAGCACTTTCTAGTAATTATACTACTATCAAATGATTTTACAATATTGATGTCACACAAATGTGCAATCATTGTTAAAGAAATGTGGTTATCTTCATGGCATATGCTTCCGCAGCAACGATACAACCAATCAAAAACACCCTTGATTTGGCATTTAATTGCTTATAACTCAAACACGGCTCTGTGAAACACATTTTTATATCGAATTGTGATAACCATGAAAACAATTTTTTGCAGAGTTTCAAAAGAAGTCAGTCAAGACGGTTCAGAGCCATCTCAAATTTTGAAAATTTAAGGGGACTCTGATCTGAACCCAGCACGACACGATTAATAGTCTTACAATCCTCCTAAAACACAAACCAACCAGGTGATCTGAAATGGAGTTTAATGTAATATTAGTCACGATGGTTTATTTGTTTAGCAATGTGACAGCAACCGCAACAATCAGTGGAGCTACAACAACAATCTCCAGTGCAGTGACAACAACTTGAAGACCAAAAATGATCGGTGCTCCAGCGG